AGGAGGAACTAAACGACCCTCGCTTTCGCCGTATTATGCAGGCAAAGGTCAGTCTTCCTGATGTCCTCCTATTCGTGTGTGTCTCGACCCTCTCCCTCTCTACGTTTTGTAAACCTTTATTGGAAAATATGATCGAGAAGGCCTGATGACTTTTGGCTGTTCTCCGAAATCTTGGCTTTGACTAGACAGCTCACAGGCGATGGACATACTTTATATCCGGACTTGATGCTCCTAAGTAGTAGATATCAAAATAATATGGGAAAGACGGATATTCCCCATGATACGCTCCAAAACACTAATCTGCCACCGGTCTCCAAAGGAACACTGAAAACTTTCTTCCTATGAACTAAACTTCTCTGGACAAGCCGGGGAAGTAATAAAATATTGGCTCAGTACAAGGACCGGAGTGATTCTTTTGAAACTATACCCACGCGACCTAGCTGAGTTGCGAAGGTTATATTGGAAAAAAACTTTCTCAATCAAATTTAAGGGTTGACGCATTGATCGAATTAGCAAAGGGGTCTCTAAAGCAGGTTACTCTCAAACTTTCATTCTCCAAACTGCAAGCGCCGTTCCCATTTAATGCCTTTTTTGTGTTTTCGATCAAAAACACACGATTGCCCTGATGACTTCTTTGGCCTCTACTACTGAGATTTCTCCACTATGGCAGGCTGCTTTCTTTCGTGGAAACCCCAGTTTGCACATTTGGGAGGGGAGGCGTGGCAGTGTACCTTGCAAGCGAAGAGTTAAAAGCAACTAAAAATGTTATTTTCATGTATTTGTTAGCCAGTAATCATGATAGGAGCGTCAACATGCTTTCCAAATAGACCAACGAGTACGGAGGATGAGCTCTTGGCATTAATTTCAGTGGCCTCTAATTCCAGTAGTGGAGGCGATGACAGTCAGACCGCTCCGATCGGCACCGGGCGCCCAGAAAGAGTTTCTACAGACTTTGCCGTTTTCATGTTGGGAAACTTGACTCACCACGCATACCGGAGTAATCCAGTTGCACTATTTTCCCGATAGGTAATGCTTAAGCCCTCACCTTCCCTTGTCCCTTTTTTGCTGCATTCTTCAGGGACTGTCAAAATTGAAATAACTACCTTCTCGTGTAGTTGTTGACCAAGCTACCGGTGTACTTCTTCATTTTATGACCTGAACTCAATATTTCTTGCTCATCGACTGATGGTAACTCATACGTTGCGCGTTCTCTTGGAAATTAAGATCATTTCAACATAGTATGTATACGCCACTTTTTTGCCAACCTCACACAGCAATCCATGGTGCCCGAGGGTGAGAGCGAAAACGAAGAAGAGGAGGAGGATCGGCTGATGCGGCACAAGCGTTTTCGCTATGTAACTGAAGGTCACATGAGCGACGGACGCAGTTCAGAAGAGGAGAACGACCAGGACGCTGATGAAGAGGAACTCGCTGGACGTCGTGAGGTAGGTTAATTATTCTTTATAAGAATGTGCGCCTTTTCTGCAAGAGTTCACCCACAACCGCGAGGTCCCTTATAGTAGGACCCTCGCTACATCAGCCACCAAAAGGGCTAGACCAAGGCCGACAGTACATGTGTTTGCGAGAGTTTGTGTGAGTTTGTAGCCGCTGCCGCCTATGTGACGCGGCTTTAGACGGACGCTTAGCACTATCGCCAG